TTTAGCGTCCATCCTAAAATTAAAAACCTAATTATCTTTTTACCCTGGAAAAACACACGAACCAACAAAGAAAAAAAAAACAATAGGAACTTACAGCATTTTCATAATTTTTGCTTTGTAAGTGAGATACATGTATGTGGGAAAAAAGAAAAACAGGGCGGACCTTTTATTATACTGCGTTTTAAGGTCCGCCCTGCCATTTTAACGAGTTTTTTTTAAGCTACGGTAACTTTTAATAAACTCTGTTCAAAATATTCGCCTTGTAATAGTAAGATATCTGAAATACAGAGGGCGGACCTTTTATTATACTGCGTTTTAAGGTCCGCCCTGTCTCTTTCTCTAGTTTGTATGCTACGAAAATAAACCCCGTTCAAAATTTTCGCCTTGTAATAGTAAGATATCTGAAATATAGAGGGCGGATCTTTTATTATGTTGCGTTTTAAGGTCCGCCCTGTCTCTTTCTCTAATTTTTATGCTACGAAAATAAACCCTGTTCAAAATTTTCGCCTTGTAATAGTAAGATATCTGAAATATAGAGGGCGGATCTTTTATTATACTGCGTTTTAAGGTCCGCCCTGTCTCTTTCTCTAGTTTGTATGCTACGAAAATAAACCCCGTTCAAAATTTTCGCCTTGTAATAGTAAGATATCTGAAATATAGAGGGCGGACCTTTTATTATACTGCGTTTTAAGGTCCGCCCTATCTCTAGTTTGTATGCTACGAAAATAAACCTTGTTCAAAATTTTCGCCTTGTAATAGTACGATATCTGAAAAACTGAGGGCAGACCTTTTATTATAGTGCGTTTTAAGGTCCGCCCTGCCATTTTGACTAGTTTTTATGTTACGGAAATAAACCTTGTCCAAAATGTTTTCTTTCTAACAGTAAGACATCTGAATTATAGAAGGCGGACCTTTAAATATACTGCGTTTTAAAGTCCGCCCTGTCTCTTTCTTTAGTTTGTATGCTACGAAAATAAACCCTGTTCAAAATTTTCGCCTTGTAATAGTGATATCTGAAATATAGAGGGCGGACCTTTTATTATACTGCGTTTTAAGGTCCGCCCTGTCTCTTTCTCTAATTTTTATGCTACGAAAATAAACCTTATTTAAAATTTTCGCCTTGTAATAGTAAGATATCTGAAATATAGAGGGCGGACCTTTTATTATACTGCGTTTTAAGGTCCGCCCTGTCTCTTTCTCTAGTTTGTATGCTACGAAAATAAACCTTGTTCAAAATTTTCGCCTTGTAATAGTAAGATGTCTGAAATATAGAGGGTGGACCTTTTATTTTATTGCGTTTTAAGGTCCGCCCTGCCCCTTTCTCTATTTTTCATGCTACAGAAAAAAAACCTGTCTATAATTTTTCTCTTTGTAATAGATAGATCAAAACGGGGGATTAAGGTTTTACATAGGAATATCTAGGAAAAAATCTTCAAAAATCTTCTTCTTAAGAACAACAATGTCATGATTAGCCATATTAATATGGAAGCATCATCAGTTAGTGTAGATGTACGTTTGTTCAAATCATGACCCCCGGGGTAGGGTGGGGTCACAATGGGGGATCAAAGTTTTACATAGGATATATATATCGAAAAATCTTCTCCACAAGAACAGCAAAGCCATCTTTAGTCAGATTGATATGGAAACATCCTCAGGTATTGTAGATTCAAATTTGTTTAAACCATGATAACAGGTCATATAAAATTAATTTTCCGCCGGAATATGGCTGAAATATAGCCGACTTGGCGTTAAACCCTAATCAATTAATTAATCAAACCATGACCCCCTAGGGGTAGGATGGGCCACAATGCACTATCAGGGTTTAGCATGTGAATGTATAGGAAAAAAAATCTAAAACCTTTTTTTCAGGAACAACAAAGCCATGTTTAGTCACATTGATATAGAAGTATCTTGAGGTAGTGTAAATTAAAGTTTGTTTAAATCATGACCCCGAGGGGTAGGGTGGGGCTAGCGCTATATCTATAAAAATCATGAAACCTGGGGTAGGGTGGGGTCACAATAGTGATTAATGTTTTACATTGGAAGATATGTTAGAATAAATTTGCTGATGAAAAACAGCAGGGCCTTATTGACTCAGGTGAGCGTTGTGGCCCATGGGCCTCTTATTTTATGTCAAGGTCTTGGAAAATCGTAGGACGATTCTTTTATAAAAGGCAGTGACGAATCTGAATGTATAATGGTAGTACAATGTATATTTATCTAGAATATATTCACCACATACAATCAAAAGATACGTTCAGATTTATTATCCATGTATATCACAAAAATGTTATGTTAGAATGATCATTAGTTGTACTGTATCCGTATCTATAGACTTTGATTCATATAGCATGAAAAAGAGGGAGTATTTGTTTCTGTATTCATACAATGAATTGGGAAAATAATCACCTTAAAAATAAGAAAGGGGTTCATCAACACTACGTACATAATGTATGTGGTAAATGCCTTGTGTGACAAGTAAAAAGAAATCTGTAATACACCAGATGGTGTTTATTTTCTACGTACTTGATACGCAAGGAGCAGATGGAAATTTAAAGAAGGTGTTATTGCCACCCCTCCCCCTCTTCCTCACCTGAGATGCAATGTATTACCGGAAATTTCTCCAGCCACTACCGAAATTATTCATATAACATGCGCAGATCGGGGGGGGGGGAGTCGGGGGGAACCCCTCCCCCCATCTGGAATTCGCAGAGTTACTAAAAGTATACACTGAAGTAAATAAAAAATGACTTTGGGCCCCCTTAGAAAACGTGGACCCTACCATTACCACCACGAAATAGGTGATTTTTAAGTTTTTGAAATGGAATTGGATTTTACGGTTTTTTTTTTCTTCCTTGACAAGAAATTTTTGGGTTAGAAATTTTCTTGACTGGGATCCCCCCCTGGAAAAATTCTTGATCCGCGCCTGTATATTGTTAGGTAATATCCGAAACAACATATGTGCAATGGATAGCATTTATGAAAATCGAACTTCAAAAATTCTGTCATGACTACATGAGACCGATTGTATTTTTTCCTCCATGGTTACCACGGAGAATGACTGAGGACTTCGAAAAGGATAATTTAAGGAGATTGGCAAAGTTCCTAGCTTTTGCAAAGAATTTTTCAAAAACTCTTGAGCAGGTGTAGTGGTACTAAACAATACACTTTATTGGTTTTCACCGCGTAGAAAATTCTACACGGGAGATCACTCTCAATCAAGCTCCAGACAGCTCAGTATTACACCATATCATTATTCGTAGGGAAAGAAGTCCCGGAGAGTATGGAGTATGACTCTCAGTCATACTCCATACAGTGTCAATTCTCCGGGACTACTTGGTATGGAGTTGTAGCGTAACGTAATACTAAGCTGTCTGCAGCTTGGACTCTCATAATGGAAAACCCCATGAATTGCCTTTTTTCTCCGGATAACCGTGAGTTGCCACTTTCCATAAACGAATAAAATAAATAATCATAAATAATCAGCGTTTTATAAAAGAAATATATGTTTGATTTAAAATTAGACTGAAACGCTTCTAGTCGACATCACGAAAATGTACATATCAATGTAGCTTAAAATGGGAAATATGACGCACGCTTGACAACGTCCCCAGAAACAATCAGTCAGTATATTTCTGGGTGCATTTGGGGGGGGGGGGGGGTTATAGCACAAATTAATGTAGAAAATAGAAATTCCTTGATACGCAAAAAAAAGGGAAAATGATCAACTGATGTTCCCTCCCCCTTCCCCCGTTCATACAGACGTGAGATACATAAATGACTTGTATATAGAACTGGACATTCAACTTTGCCCAAAATGCTTCATGTCGGTAATAAAAGAAAATATTTTACAATAATGATTTCAAATTTTAATCGGTCATGCAATACAGCCTGCTAGATTATCCCACAGTCTGTCTATTATAGTCACAGTAAAATGTGTAATTTCTTTTTCTTTCTTTTTCTTTTGGCAAAAAAAAAAAAAAAAAATACAAAAATGAAATATTATTTCATATGTAGTTCATTATGACGAGGAAGAGTGATATTTTTATAAGAAAGAATTAAATCCCAAGCATGATTATACATGTACTTTAAATCTGATGTATATGTTTTCAATATTGAATTACCTGTTTGAAGCTTTAACATTACATGTATTTTGTTTCTGCAGTAAATACAGATCGAATACAACATTAGGCTATATATTACCCTATCCACAAATAAAGGGCAAAATATTATTATAAACTGAAAACAAGTTAATTGTTAAAACTAAAGGGAAACATATACATACTTTTATTTTTTATCGGTTTTAGTATTAAACTCTACACTAGGAATAAGAAATTTCTTTAAATATTGTAATAAAAATAGACTATATATAATTATATAATTATATCACAATTTCGATGTGTACGCATGAATATCATAATAGTATTATAATTTGTTCTTCAGCATAATTTATTAAAATAGAGAATTCATATCTATTGATTTAAAGCAAACACATGACCATTACATTGTCATTGCTCTCTGCCGCGGGCTCTACCTGCGGGTACCTGTCAGGTATACGAATACTTCACACCCTCATTGTTTTATTGCCTATACACACCGGCAGATTTCACACCTTTAATCGTCCTAATTTACACAAAGCAAATGCTGGGGAAAAACAAACACAAGCCCAATAAATGCGACATTTTTTTTAAAATCATTGTCCTAAACGGTATTGCTAAAAGCACACTAAACATGGAGTAGCAATTCCTGCCCTAAGAGATATATGGTACAAAAAATAAACACAACAGCTAGGGTAAATCCTTAATCTTTCTTCATATGATGCAAACAAACTCTCTTTAATTTTATGTGTTTAAGTCAAGATTAAAACATTTTGCACCACCCGGACCTTTAAACTTAGGCGGACCTTTTCTTATACGGGCCGGACCTTTTCTTATAGAAGGCGGACCTTATATGTTATCGTATTAGGTCCCCCCGGACCTTTAAACGAGGCGGACCAAATATTATGCGACACCGTATGAATAGAGAGGTTTGTCATCATCATCAAACTGAATGGTTTGTTTTTCTTCGAAACCAGAATAGCGAACAACTTTTGTTTGTTTGATATCTTTTCTAGTCACGACAACCAAGAGGTCACCAGAGGAGGTGCTGCAGATATTGCGAGGTTTCCAGTTCTGTAATGTGATCACTGCGTCAATCTTTTCATTCTTTACAATGTTCACAGTTTTTTCTTTTGGATCAGTATAAATGACGTGACCTTGTTTTATTACGGAGATGTCGAAGGGGTTGTTCCTTGATTTAGTAATAAATGACTTCAAAAGGGAGCCATGATTGATGCTGAAAAGTTTCAAGGTGTTCTCATTCCCCCTTATCCAGATTTCTTCATTGTTCAGACAGGCAACATTTCCTAGGTGAGATCTATTTTTAGTGTTTATGGTACTGATGGTCTCTGGTTCATCAAGCAGCTGTTTGACAGGATGAAAGCTTCCAGCCTCTGATGACTTTTGTGTAGTCTTGATGCAATATCCATGCTCTTCTGAAATTGATTTACCTGATGATAAAGATCCAAATTTGCTAAGGAAATCTTCTTCTTGGATTCTCGAGCTCCCTGGAGTGAAAGTAGGCAAATAGGAAATTATTTTTTGTGGAAGCTTTTTGAATATGTCTGCATTAAGTTTAATGCTAAACAGTTCTGATATGTCCTGGGTATCAAAATCAAACTCAGAAGAGGTAATTTCAATCTGTATTTCAGATATTTTCTTGTGAATATTATCCAGATGATTCTTTAAAGTTGATATCTGTTTGGTTTTCATCTCACCAATCTCAGCCTGATGTTGTTCGACGGCTTGGTCAATTTTTCTGTGCCAGTCATCTCCATATTTTGTTATGGTTGTTGAAAGATCCAAAAAGCCATTTTCTAGCTGCTTTATGGTGTCCTTTACATCAACTGAAATGTCCTGATAAGTTGGAAGTATTGTGTCATTTAATTCCTTTTGTTTTTTGATGATTTTTTCTTTTCTTTCATTGAGAGTTTTAAGAATATCCGATATTTTATGACCTAAATGATGATCAGATACAATGCAAGTGATGCAGACAGGAACTTCACATTGACTACAGTACATTTGACATCGTCCATTATCATGAGAGGTACATTTAGGGTAAAGTGGAATTGACTTTCGAAATATAAATCTTACAATCTCATGCTTTTCCTTGGATTCATCAGCTGCCATGTGTTTTCCAATACAGGCGTTGCACAGTTTCATGTTGCATGTATCACACTGAACCTGTACCATTTCAGTCTTACATAGATCACATAATATCAAGTCCTGAGCTCGGATGTTTTGATCGTTATGAGTGTCGGTCAACATGATGGGTTGACTTTAAACATTGAAATATATGTAACTGTAAAGAAAATATACGAATATTTTATGTTAGGTTTAACTTAAAAGTATACTCAACAGGTGCTTTCCCATAACGTCTGTGTAAAGGATTCAAATATTAAATTATCGCAAATTTATCAAAGGTACACAGGTGTCGGTCAAATTCGTAACGTCCGTAATCTAGGGCGTAAAATGGCTTGCAAATGCGGAATATAGAATCAGTTCGGTTTTTTTTCTATTAGTTTTACCACATAAATGCAGTATACGTCACCAAAAGCGACCGTGATGCAAAAAGGAGGCAAAGTGGGTGAGTTTGTACTGTCGGTCAATATTTCTTAGTAGATAACAGGCGTCACACTAATAACTAAATAAGATTTATATAATATTTCTTGATAAAGTGGACAAGCCATGTTCTTCGATGTGTTGAAATCTATAATTGTTATTGTTTGACACAAAAGTTTAAGCATTTTTTTTATAATAATTACGATCATAGAGTTCAGCAGTTATATTTTGACTAACATAAAATATACGGATATGACAGTTTGACAGAAAACAATGTCAAACCTTAACTTCAGAAGCACAATGATTCGATTATGTAACATAGAAATTTTAAGGACATATTTTTTGCTGTTTTGGTTATAAAAACTCATTTATTTTCTTTTCAGATACCATGCTACCAGCTCTTTATTGATTTTCTTGGCTGATTGCCTGTTATGATTTGACCATTGTCAATCTGTGCTGATACCAATTTTTTTCTTATTATGTTATTAAAGATAAAATTTTATCAGTAAACTTCAGTTGTATGTTAACTGGTTGATGAAGAACAAGTAATAAAATATAGTGAAAAAAACACCGAAAACACGATTTCTTTGCAGAAAGTAAGAACGATGAAAATGCTATAGCAGGAGAATTTGACGTCACCTCCGTCACGATTAATTGTGCCTTATTTATTTTACAGATAGGTCATAAAAAGCTGTCTAATTCATTCCAAGTGAAAGCATGGTCTGATTCATGCATGTGGTGGTTTTTTTAACGTTCCGAGAAGGGCGAAAATACCCTCAAAATTCGCATTATCTGTGTCAACATAACGCCCGTCACTTTTTGATCAACTATATTTGGATGCAGTTTTCTTAAAAAATAAAAACGCAACTATCTTTTCTTTATGAATTCATGAAGGAAGGCATAAATATAGATGCTTTTAACTAGAAAAAGTGTAAAAATATTGACACAATTTTTTTCACTGTGACGGCCGTTATTATTAACAAATAGCTGATCCTTGCCCAAATATTACATAATTAGGAGAATACTTGTATGAAAGAGAAAAAAATATTGATTGGAAAAGTCTGGAACATTCATGTTGGACTCAAATTAACATTATTTCATGTGGATGTCTGTGATAAAAAAAATACGTTCAACAAAAAGGTTTTTAGTGTACTCGTATCTCTATTAATACGCAAAATTTTGGGGGCTAAAAGTACCTAAAAGTACCTAATCAAGGCCATATGTGCCCCCAGCTTTTAGGGGGCCAAAAACATTTTAATTAATGTACCCATGATGTTTTAAAAGAAAGTGTACAGGATGATATTGAATTAACCAATGTCAATGTAAATAGATAAAATAAGAAAAAATTAATTTTATCAAAACTATTTTTTTCAGAATTTATAAGTATTTACCTGACTGTAATGGCGCTCTAGAAACCACAGATGAAGTTTATTTTGAGCATTCTGGTCATATGACCCTTTTCTGTCTTTCAAGATTATCTTTTTTATTCTTCTTTGTCTTCTTTCTTTAGAAAGGTATTTAATTTTTCTCTAATAACTTTCCTTCAATGTGTCATAGATTTATACAAATGACGTGCAGGTAACACAATTTGCGCCTAAAAATGTTTAATGAAGTAAATTTAAAGTCCCTAGCATATAATTATAAAGTTACATGAACATTTAGGCCTGTGTTCAAGAGAAAAACATGGTGTGTAATTGGGTAATCTTTGTAGTTGTTTGCGAGACTTAATCACTTAAAAGTGATTGTAATTGCAGTCCGGGGGACCAGGCTACTCTATACATATAGTTTAAGTTTCGTTGCATGGGATTGAGGTGGGAGAAGTTAGTCAGAATTAAAGGTTAAGAATACATATAAAAGAATGTTCTTTCCCTTTTTAAATTGCGAGATACACAATATATTTACTTCCATGAGGTACATCTTTAAAAAATATATATGTTTTTCATATGTAATATACAAAATTGCTTATCGTTTACTATCGACAAAACAACAGGTCCTTTTATTTTTAGAACATTAAATTTTATTTCCCGCATAAAAACGTTACACAGTTTGTGTTTTATATTCATTAAGTCAAATATATTTTTGATGATAGGTGATGATTGTGTCTAACTTATAAACGGCTAATACAAACGGGAACATCACATTGATTACAGTACATTTCACATCGTTTTTTGTCATGGAATGTACATCCAGGATAAAGGAGAGTCGATTGTTGAAACTTAAATTTAACAATTTCATGTTTTTTGTTGGATTCATCACACATTGTGTGTTCTCCAACACAAGCCTTGCATAGGCTTAAAAGGCATGTATCACAGCGCATTTGCACCATGTTAGTCTCACACATGTCGCAACGCAAAATGTCCTTGGCACTTGTGCGCTGAGCCATGACTCGACGTATGCCTATGATATATAGAAAAACGCCTTCTTAAACAATAAAATACTATAGCTATAGTTAAGTATAGTGATAAGTTTAATACTTTGATTAACTTTAATGATAACTATGAAAATTTTGATTCACGATAGTGATCACTTTGATATTAAAGTGATAATTTTGAAAACTTTCAATTACTACAATGAACACTATGAAAATTTTGATATACCATAGTATACACTTCTATCATAGAAAATTATATACAATAGTAATAAATTTTATACTTTGCATGACTGTTGCTATATCAATCTTAAAACTGATAAATTTGACACTTTGATTAACATGTGAATAAAATTTTTCTTTGAAATCATACTACATCGAAAACAAAGTATAGAAGCTGAATGTAAATTATAAAAGAACATAATTTTACATTTGGGAGAGTTTAAAACAAAGACTTTCCCATCATAGAATTGATCTGACTATAATTTTGACAAAAATCAAGAATAGAATCTACACTAAAACCTTGTTCGGTAACCGAGTTAAAATTAAATTCGTTGAAAAAAGAACAAAATAAAACCATTTGGCATCCAATCAAATTGCAGTATGATATTTAAATTAGTGAAATTCGTGTCCTTTGCTTTCTGGAATTTAAGGTATAGTGAGGGGATATTAAACAACTTTGAATCATTTTGAACTAGTTGAATTGTTTTGCTTGATAATGATGAAAGAGAAATAAAGCAAATCCACATGATTGATAACATATACGAAGCATTTTCAAAATAAAACGTTTTTGGAAAGTTATCTGCCCTTGATGAAAAGAAGAAAAGTTTAATTTTGTCAAAATATCTGTGGTAAATAATTCATTTTATTTCATATTTCAATATATGGAGAATTTATGCATATTTTCACCAAGAGATTTGCAAGACGATCAAATTACCTTTTACAAAATCTTAATAACACATGCGCTGCCCATGCCACAAAATTAATGAAAAATTAAAGGTGCGATTATTTGGAAAATAATCAACATCTTGTACATTCCTTCAGTAGAGTATTTTTATATGATTACAACCTTAAGGACATACGCAATGTAGTTTGAACTTTATTGTCTTTTTCCGTGGAGTTGAAGAGTTCCAATACTAAAAGGAACTGTATGCTACATTTTAATGTCTATATATGCTGTTGTACACTTCTTCTTAAACATGTTTGGGTAAACAAAACATCTAAAATATATGTTTAGTAATTTCTGTATATTCTTCTTTGAATTATACAAGAATTTTCATCAATTGACATCTTTTCAAAACCCCTGGTAATGCATGCTGATTTTTTGTTTAAGAACATCTGATGGCACTATAATCTTAAATTAAGAATATCTTGAAAAATTACCAGTAGGTAAGGTACGTTGCGTATGTCCTTAAAATCTTAACATGATTAAACATATTTAACCATTCATTTATTAGATGTATACAGGTGCAAAACATGGGTTTTTTATACATTGAATACTTTAATTTCTGCACATATGCTTCCCTAGCGGAGTATTCAGCAATAGTCCATTAAAAAGTAAAAATACGAACATTCAGCTGTAATCAACTGCAAAGTTAACATACATGTAAGGGTGTAAAACAAGGGCCAACTGCACCAAAAATATAGGAGTATCCAACAATGCCTAACTGAATTTAAAGATGTTAATTGACAATGAATTGTAAACTGAATACTGTTATTGAATTCTCATAGTCTTTTATTAAGCAGATTAGATTGGAGCATCTGTGCATGCACATGTTTTCTACATTTCTCATATATACTTTCTCATAGTGTCTCACAAAATATACCTTTGTGATAGATATCACCATTTTGAATTGAAATATTAAAGAGATACAACCATTTTATCATTAGCCAATCAAAATTTAATTCATTTGCATACATGATCTTTGCATTCTTTTGTTAGAATCGCAATGCCGGGGAATATAATATATTTCCGATTATTATTCAAAAGTATAGATATAGAAATGCTGCATGATTTCAGATCTGTCAAAAATAATAGTTTTTGATAAATAAATAGTGGTTGGTTTTTACCTGACTGTACTGTAATGGAAGCTGCTGAAGCAGCCAGAAAAGAAATGTTGCTAGCACTAAGATAATTGCTGTCTTTCTTACCTCTCTTTTTTCCTGTTACAGTCCCTGAAACGTTCTACTTTCCCATTTTTCCGTTCGCTCACCGTTCGTTCAGCGTGCGTTCACCGTTCGCTCTCCGTTCACAGTTTTGCGTTCACCGTTCACCGTGCGCTCGCGTTCACCGTTCACAAAGCGTTCAGCGTTCGCTCTTCGTTGCGTTCACTTTGCG